TTTTTTTTTTTTTTTTTTTTTCTTTTTTCTTGGCCATAAATCTCATTATAATTTGATGAAAAAAATATCAAAAAACTGACTTGTATCTTTTTATTTTTATTTTTTTCACAAACTCCATTTAATCCATGAAATGAATTGATAGAATTTTGCGCTTGCTTTTCTTTGATACATCCACATATAAGGCATGGCTATTAACAAGAAATTTTACATGAGTTAAATATGGGGTTTAGCCCATGTTTGGTTCAGATTAACATTTAGATTTTAATCTAAATCAAAGTCAACAATTAATTTTAATCACACATTTCATTATAGATAATCTACTCCTCTTAACAAGGTTGATCTTTTAACATGGAACATCAAGTTTTGTTAAGATATCAGAGTCATCAAGCTCAAATCAGCATTTCAATCAGATTAAGACTCAAGTTGAAGGCACAAATAATTAGATTGATCTTCTCAAACGACATTTCAACATCTTACGAGGTATATTAAGAGACAAATCTCATGTCAATTAATTAATGAATTATAGACTAACATAGAAGCGTTTAAACTACTCATCTTAACAAGATAAAATCACAAGTCTTAATAATAGCAACGTAGTAAAGAAATATTATGAGAAGTGAAAAATACAAATTCATGACATGATCTACACACACTAGAAAACCATGAGCCGTACTAAGAATTACAATTAAAAATTGCATAAACAATTTCACGAGAACAAACCCTTTTCCTATACACTATACTTAGCACACGGAATCTGTAAAGAATCCAAGAACTTTTTCCATTCAAAAATTTGGGAAACAAAAGAATGCAATGAAAGAAAAAAACTAAAATCTTTGCAAAATTAAATAGTATACTTTTTTTAAGCACTTCGGGCGAGCATCTCCTCGAATTCAAGAATTGACTGCTCTCTTTGAAGCTTCATTTCTTCTCTGAATTTATAGATGAATTCCTCAGCCCTCTCATCAACTCCTCGAAATTGTGGCACCAGAGGAATTTTCCATTTATCAGCACAATTAGTGTTTCTAGGCTCACCTTTTCCTGCTGATATCTTTTCATCAACATGCTTTTTTTCGCTAAGAGTCTTAATATTTTCAGATTTGGCCGCGGTGAAAGTACCACTACTGGACCCTACCATTTCTTTGGCTTGGCCCGGAAAGAGTGCATCCACATATATGGCTGAACTCTTAGCGAAGCCATAGTGGTGGTGGCGACGCCTTGCAATTCGCCTCGTAAGAGTCTGAAATTTGCAGAGCCAAGCTTCAAGGCAATGTTTTTTTGTGGTTTTGATGGACTTGGAGAAGTTGATTTCACGTAGTTTCGATTGAAGCTTGTTTTTGAAGCTTTTCCACACCTTTTTAGCAGGCAGGAGCTTCTTCAAAGACATGAAGCAGGACGTTCAAGTGTTTAGGCAAATTGAATGCTAGTTTTGAGAGGATTTCTTTGACAGGTGAGCCTCATTGAAATAGAGGGGGTATTATATTAAAATATCTTAGGCCCTGTTCGATAGTATTTTTTTTCCATGGAACTAGGAATTGATTTTCGATTTTCAACATTTTTGTTTGTTTGATAGGCAAAATTTTCTTGACAAATGATTTTCCACCCAACCCCCTTTTGGTTATTTTTCTTGATTTTTAAGGAAAAGCTTTTCCCACCACGGGAAAAGCTTTTCTAGACAATTTTTTCCTCTTTTTAAAATTTTTTTTTTGGTAATGAAAATAAATTTTATTCTCAATTGTAACAAATTATATCCTTTTAATGAACAATTTTTATGGAAAATAAAGCTAAACGAATATCAAAAGATTCAAAATTTCAATATTTTTCAAGTGGAAAATTATACAAATCAAATACAATTAATTGACAATTCTCAATTAACAAGTTCTAGGCAATTCAATTCCCTAAAATTCATTTTTTTCACTCAAATTCAATTCTTGCAATCAAACGGACCCTTTATGAAATTAATTACTTTTCCATGAAGGATTGCAAAAGTAAAATAATTAAAGAGGTTCCTCTCTTTCCAAGAAAATTATAATATGTAAAATTGTTTACGAAAAGCACATTTCCATAAAGGTTGAACTTATTATGTGCATAATAAAGTGAAAGTTTACGTGAGGTAATTACAATAATATTTTCATAAAAAATTCATATATTAAGGATGTAGGGATAGATTAAGAATACAAATGAAATTAAAATCTTGTCCAATATAATTATATTCGGAACATTTCCTTACTGTCTTCAATAGCTTCTTTAAATGAACTATAGATGTACATGTTTGTGTAGCATGATAAATCTTTCCGTGTGTATTCTCAATGAAGTACTCAATCATGCTTGTTGTACATCATTGTTTACACTTTGTCACATTGTATTATTATATTGGACAATTGAAAAAAAACTGTTTTTTCATCCAATTATTTGCTGACAACACAACAAATGTCAACAATAGTGTAATAAATGAGTGTACAAATGGCATAATCCATTCCTTGAGCCCAAATTTTGGTTAGAGATTCTATTATAATAATAATGTGAAAATTCATTTGGGGTATTGGATTTCTTTGCTGGTAAGCCACCTGAATTGGGGGACCTACATTGTCTCGTTCGGCCAGGAAAGACGCCACACTGGGACAGGGTTTGGCTACTTTATTCACCATCCTTTGAATTTGTTTATGGCTGCAATTTATAATGGAGTTTAATTTGACTCAGAAATTTTTATGTCAAGAGTATAATGGTAGGTGTCTTAGGTCGCCTTTATATTTTCTTTCTATGTAAAGGATATTAGGACGAGTCTCTTTCCGCGAAGAGGGAAGAGAGAGAGAGAGAAACTTAAGTTGAGAAACATCTCGTAACTCTTTTGCGTTAAGATGAAACTTATAGTGAACCTCTCAAAAATTGTGTATCTTTTACTTGCTTTTGAATTTTTGTTTCATGTTATTATTTTTGGTAGTATGGGATTGGGTGCTCAATCTATATTATGTATAAATATAAATGTTTATGAAGGAATTATATTTTAGCATTTTAGTAATTTCAAACATTTAACTTTTATGTGTGTCAAAAATATAATTAGCTCTTCCGACCAAAATTCTATTTTGTGCCAATATATATCTTATGGCCAAATTGCTTAGTACATCATACCTACTTTACTATAATTATTTATTCGAAGTTGAACACTCAACTTTCGAAATCAGATATGGAATATTTATCAATCGAAAAGTCTTTACTAATGCAAGCGTTAAGATTTGAAACGTCGTATTTCAAAATATACTAACCACAAGGCACTGCGGGTGATTTATCCTAATTTCCATTAAGTCGTGCTTATACATAATATTTTCGGCCTTTGAACAAAATCCTCATGCTCTATTTTTTAGTTCTTTTATGCAAACATCATGCTAGAATTCATTTTCAACTACTATGATGATATATTTTTATTTTGTCGAATTTTTCAACTTTCAAACATTAACTTATTTTTTTCTGCAACCATATTCATTTTATTAAGTCAAATGCATCAAACATATTGTTTAAGCTGAAAGTTGAGAACTATGTATGGACAGCAACCCTTGTGGCTTTCCAACTTGTAAAGCTAAAAACCACCCTTTACCAACCAAACCATTATAAAAGCTGAGGCCATTCCCATCTTTACTTCCTTTACAGCTCATTCTTATGACGCTGATGGACGTCCATATCCTTAATACCCTTATCAAAATCCCCTTTTTTTTTTTTTGCCCTTTTTTGACAAATCATCACTATAGGGTGACAATTTTATGAATACAAGAAGCAAAACTACAGCTTAAGAAGAGGACAAGATCTGACCACCAAACATTTGACTGACACTAAAATTTAACATTAAAGAAATTAACTTGATTAATCTAGAAAGACTAAGACCAAAAGAGGTTACAATGCGAAGGTACCAAAGAAAAAATTCTGTTGAAAGAAACGAGTAACTTATAAGTTATAATTTCTCATTAGAGCTCAGAAGAAAAACTCAATTTATCCACTTGTATGGTGTGATTTTTTAGTCAACTGACCTAATTCCTTCTCTTCAGAGACACTTGAATATTTTTTAATTTGTTCGATAACGTATACCATATCAACAGTTTAAAGAAGAAAAAACTTACATAACAAACATATGCAAATCATTATATATATTGGATAAACAGAGGTTCATGTGTATTGGTGTGTTACATCGACTTCACTTGTTACATACGTATTCATTTCTTATATTAACCATTTTAACATGGCCACACATACATCTTTCTTAGCATCTTCAGTTTTCTTATGTTAGTATTATGAGCATATGATGAGAACCATAAGATGAAGGTTAGCAAAGATCCGTAGATTGTTTATGGACATATGACGAGATCACGAGCAAAGAATATCAAAGAAGCCATGCGATTACTTTTTCAAACTACGTGGGCTGAGACTTCAATTGCAATGAGTAAAACATCAAGTTTCATGTTGGGTATGGAAGAGGAACCAAGATTAGTGCACTGAATTCAAGCTATATTAGAAAAAGTGAAACTTGGAGTGTACCCGGAAAGCGGGCAAACAGAATCGGTCGCGCCTGCACAGGTGCAATATTGCAGCTCGTATCCAAATCAATTGAATGGAACAAGCGCGAGAGAATACACTGTGCGCATGCAGTACAAAAATCTGAAGGTGGTTTAATTTTTCCTTTTTCGTTTAGAACTCTATTTGTTTGATATTTTCTTGATAATTTTCCGTTTTAATTAGGATTTTTATGCGTTGGCTATATATATGACTTCATTCTTTCATTATAAATTCATGAACTTTTGAGAGATTAAATCAAAGCAAGGTTGCTTTCTTCTTGTTTTTCATTAAACTTAATTTCGAACTTATGAAGGCTTTCATCTTTATGGCGTTCAAAAATTTCATAGTAAGGTTCATAATTCTTGTGATTAAGGGGTCAAGTTCTTTTATAACTTTAGTTCTTTGATTCAATAGATTATTGGGTCAAGTTTCAAACAGAGATTTTAGCTTTTTTTGGGTTATGATTCAATCTTTTGTGAGTTTTGAACCTACTATTACTACGTGGGGTCACATCAATTGGTATCAAAGTTTTGGCTCTAAAATTAAGGTTATATCTTTATTTTTCCGCATTTTTTATTTTCTTCGTTGAGTCTTCATCTTCTTCGTTGAGTCTCCATCGTTTTCTTGACTCTTCATCATCTTCTTGAGTCCTCTACATCAACAGAAATACCAAGAACATTCAAAAATTGTTTTGTGTATTAAATTGTGTACACCAATACAATTTTGTTTCGATCTTTCTTGTCTTTGTTAATTTTTTTCTTATTTAGTGTCAAAATAAAAAATAAATAAAAAATCTAGAAAAAAATTCAGCAAAAAGAAAAAGAAATTTTCAAGCTAAAAATAGGCTTATTCGATTTCAAGAAACACTTTCTTGGAAATTTTTGAGCCACAATTTCTTTCAAGAAATTAATTTAATACCTAAATCATCAATTTGTATCAATTTTGCCGTGGAAAATGAATAAATCGATTTCAAGAATCATTTTCTCGAAATTTTTGGTTGTGATTTCATTCAATTCTTTCATTCATTCCTTTCTTAAGTCCTTTTTTTCGAGTCATTATTCTGTTTAAATTATTTCTACTTACAGGTTTGAATCTCACAAGGGCGAAAATTCTTTATTGAGATCAGTTAGTTCCTTAGAAAACTTGAAAGAAAGCATTGAGAGGAAAAATGCAAGAGTGGTGAGATTATTAGAGGGAAAAAGGCAAATTTGAGTGAAACATGAGTGCAAACACGTAAGGCATACAAATCCTAGTTGTTAGGATGTCTGACAAAGAAGAATCAATATCTGGAGAGGAACACAATCTAGCATTTATGACGAGCACCATGCAACAACGATTTGAGCGGATGAATGTGGTATTTGGAGAAATTAGAGATAGAATGAATCGACAAGATATGGTGATTGCTAACTTACAAAGGGGGCAACTTAGAGGAGTTCCTAATGTTATGAGGCACGATAGGTGTGATCCTAGAGTTGGATCTGATGATGGGAATGAAGTAGACAGTGCTAATGAGGATGATCAAATATTGGAGGCTAAAGTGGGTAGAATGAGGAATAGAGGAGAAATGTGTGAAAGGGTGCATAGAGGAGATCTCAGAGACTTTGGTAGAGATAGAGTTGATCGAAATTTGGGTATCATTAAGATTAAAAATATTTGATTCCAAGGAAGAAACAATCTGGAGGTATATTTATAGTGGGAAAAGAAGTTGGAGTTGATCTTTGATTGCCATAATTATTTGAAGGAGAAAAATGTGAAACTAGTGGTAATAGAGTTTACCGATTATGTAATCACATGGTGGGATCAATTAACAACAAGTAGTAGGAGGAATCAAGAGAGGCCTATTGA